CTACCCCCAGCCGCACACCGCCCCGCACGGCAGCGGCCCCCCGGCCCCTCTGCCGCCCCGGCCCGCCGGCTCCATCCCCGCACGGCTCGGCACCCCCGGGACGGTCCCGTCGCGTCGCACCTTCTCGCCGTCCACACCCGTCCTGATGCCACCCCACGCTGTCCCCACGCTATCCCGTCCCGGTCCCCAGCACGTCCCGTCCCCGTCCCACCCTCTCCCTGTCTCATCTCCTCCCGATCCTGAGCCCGTCTTGTCCTGATCCCATCCCACACTGTCCCCACGCTATCCCGTCCCGGTCCCCAGCACGTCCCATCCCTGTCCCACCCTCTCCCTGTCCCATCTCCTCACGATCCTGATCCCATCTCGTCCTGATCCCATCCCATCCCATGCCCTCCCCTCTACAGGCTGTCCCCATCCCATCCTGTTCCCATCCCACCTCCTCCACGTTCTACCCCATCCCATTCTGATCCCATCCCCTCCTCGTCATGTCCTCTTCCCACCTCATCCCACCACATTCCCATCCCACCCTGGCCCCCCCCATCCAATTCTGATCCCATCTTCTCCCCATCACATCCCACACTGTCCCCATCCCATTCCATTTCTATCCCATGTTGTTCCCATCCCATCCTACCCTGATCCCATCCTCCCCATCACATCCCATCCCCAACCTCATCCCATCCTCCACATCCCCACCCCCCATCCGTGTACCATCCTGCTCTGCCCCATACCACACCACCTTGATCCCACCCCACACTGTCCCCACCTTACCCCATCCTACCCCCCTATCCTGATCCCATCCCACCCTGACTCCCTGCCCTCATCCCCCAGCTCCCTGCCCTAGGGGGAGTTCCCCCCATCTCCCTGCTCCCCAAGAAGGGCAGACCTGGCACCCCCACCCCAGAACACCCTCCTCCCACCCCACCAGCTGCAGCTGGGGTGGCTGCCTCATCCCACCCATCTGTGGGCACTTAAGAGCCAGGGCCAGCCGGGGGCAGCCTGTGCTAGCCATTATGGCTACTGGGGAACAGGTGAGTCCTCTCCCTGTGGGCTGGGCCTGCCAGCAGAGCCAAGGAAGCCCTGCTATCCCCTCAGGGCTCCCAGCTGTGGGATCTGTGTCATGGTGTGGGGGTGGCTGGGGGGGTCACAGGCTCCCTGCTGGGGTGGCTGTGGGGCTCCTCGGGGCTGTCCCTCCTTCCCCAGCGCAGGCAAGAGGAGCGGCAGCGCCGGCGGCGAAGGGTTCAGCAGCAAGAGATGCTCCTGGCAGAGAGCCTGGGCAAGCACCCCCTGCAGAACAGGTATGGGAGGCCTGGCAATGGGTAGCCTCTCCCAGCACTGAGAGTGGGGTGCTGGGTCTGGAGGGGGGCTCCAGCATGGCTGACACGCCCCTCCCCCCATGTCCCTTCCCTCCCCAGGTGGGCACTGTGGTTCTTCAAGAATGACAAGAGCAAGATGTGGCAGGCAAACCTGCGCCTTGTCACCAAGTTCAGCACTGTGGAGGACTTCTGGGCGTGAGTGTCCCATGGGTGGGCAATGTGCCCCCTCCAGCAAGGTCCTGGAGGGGGTCTGAGCCAGAGGAGGGTGTTGGGGGTCCCTGAGGCACCTCTTCTCACCTGCGTCTGTGTCTTGTCTCTGCCCGGTGCAGGCTGTACAGCCACATCCAGCTCGCCAGCAAGCTCACATCTGGCTGTGACTACTCCCTCTTCAAGGTGTGACACCTCCTCTGCTGCAGTCCCTCCTCGGAGCCCCCTGCAGCACCCAGCATTATAGGGGCCCACTGGGTGCCGGTGGGACAGGCAGGCTGCCCTGGCCATAGGCTGGGAGGGGAAGCCTGGCTGGGTGCTCACAGCTCCCTAAGGTGGCTCTGGCGAGGTGCTTGGTGCCCTTGACCATCCCCTCGCCTATCCCTAGGATGGCATCGAGCCCATGTGGGAGGACAGCCAGAACAAGCGTGGTGGGCGCTGGCTCATCACCCTGGCCAAGCAGCAGCGGCACACCGAGCTGGACCGTTTCTGGCTGGAGACGGTGAGTGCGGCCCTGCTCGGGCTGGTCTGCAGGGTCCTGGCAGTGGTGTTGCCCCCTGCCACAGCACCGAGCCCCAGCGGGCACTGTCCCGAGCTCTCCTTCTCCTGGCAGCTGCTATGCCTCATTGGGGAGATGTTTGACGAGTACAGCGACGAGGTGTGCGGGGCCGTCATCAATATCCGCGCCAAGGGGGACAAGATCGCCATCTGGACCCGGGAAGCGGAGAACCGGGAAGGAGTCACCCACATCGGGTAATGCAGCTTTGTGGAGGGGGCTGCATGGGGCCAGGTTTGGGGCGAATGGGGTCCTTGGGCAGGGAGCTGGTGGGAGAAGAGATGCTGCCCTGTTCACGCAGCCCCTTCCCTCCTCCAGGCGCGTCTACAAGGAGCACCTGGGCTTGTCGCAGAAGGTGGCCATTGGGTACCAGGCCCATGCAGACACGGCCACCAAGAGCAGCTCCCTCACCAAGACCAAGTTTGTAGTGTGACTGTGGGAGCGGGATGCTGCCTGTGGAGTCCCCCTCTCCCATCCCACAATGAATGGCTGCAGTTGAGCACAGTCTGTGTGTCCAGGGCTCTGGCACCCTGCCGTGGCTCTTGCCTGGGGGGGCTTCCTGGGAGGGGGACAATGTGTTGCTGTATCCTGTACCCGCCTGCTGGGTGAGCAGGGGTGGGAGCACAGAGCTGGCATTGCCCAGGCATCACTGTGAGCTTGGGGCACCCTGTGTCCCCCTGCCTCACCCAGTGCCTGGGACCAATGTCCCTCTCCCTAGGGCTGCAGGGGTGTCTCTCTGCTCTGGGGGACCCTGGATAGTCCCTAGGAGTATGCTGGGCTCTGTCCTCTCCTGGCTAAGGCATGGGCACAGCGTGCTGCCCTGCAAGCCTGGGTGTGGGAGGGGGTACCAGAGCCCTGCTCCTCTGGGTTGGCTCAGCCCGGGGAGCTGGTACCCATCTCTCCCAAGCCCCTGTACATCTGTGGGACATGGGTCTGCCTTTTCAGGAAGACTAGCTCCCCAGCCAAGGCCTCCCCGGCATCCCCCCAGTGTTGGTGCTGGGGATGCAGCACAGCATCATCCCCATGTTGTCCACCTCTGGCTTTGTTTGCTCACATCCCCTCCCACAGGCACCTGCAACATAGGGGCTATGAAGCTTATTTGCTTCCTGAGGGTTTATTGGTGCCAGACCTGCAGGTTCACAGCCCCAGTCTATTGAGCCCTGGGAGTTTACTGTCTCCTCTTTTCCATGGCCCATGTCCTCCATGGTCCTTCCTGGCTGTCGAGGGGCCCCCTTCCTCCTTCCCCCCCCCCCCCCAGCCCAGCCCACAATCTGTCCTTTAGTCTTTTATTTGTGTTTTTGACTGTTGGGTCTGTCCTCCCTCCCTGTCTGTTCAGGTCCTTGAGGTGGAGCTGCCTGCTCACCTCCTGACAGTGCTGCCTGCATTCCTGGCCTCACTGCAGCTTTCCTCCAGGAGGAGCCTCCTCCATCCCCTTGAGGAGCACCTGGGCAGCTCCAGCTCAGCCCAGGCTTGCACCCTGTCCAGGGCAGCATGTCCAGCCCATCCGTGCCTCCCCATGAGCCCAGAGCTGGGGCCAATCATCCCCCACTGCTGTGTGGTGCCTGTGCTGGCTCAGTGCTGCTCTGCCTGCACCTGGGGTTTGCAGAGATCTGGTCCTGCAGAGAACAGAGTCTTGACCACGTCTCTGCTGTTGCAGTTGGTTGAGGCATGTCCGGCCACAGCTCTGCAGGCAGGCAATGTGGCCGTGGCACCATGGGCCCTTGGCTGCCTGTGGTGCTGCCCTGTGGGGTTTACTGGAGTGTGCTGAGCCCTGCCCTGCTCTGGGACGCTGCCATGGCTGCACAGAGCTGTGTCCCTGGGACTCAGCTTCCCTTCTCCAGGGCCACCAGCCCTGCAGCTCCCCTGGGGCAGTTGTGCCAGGGCTCTGCCTGCAGCCTGCCTGCCCTTCATCACCCTGCATTTTTCTCCTGTGCCAGGCAAGAGATGCTGCCAGAGAGGGGAGGTGGGAGCTTGTCCCTGGTCCGCAGCGGGCCAGGCCATGTCCCCGTGTCCTTGCATCACATGCTGGCCCTGGGCTGCTTCTCTGCACAGGTACAAGGGGGGCAGGACCCTGCTGCCCTCCCTTGTAGGGCAACCAGGCTAAGGGTGCTGCAGGCGGCGCTGGCCCTATGGCCAGCAGCAGGACCAGGCAGGGAGGAGGGGGGAACCGCAGTATGGGGGTGGCCAGCACCCCCAAGCCTGGGGTGCCTGCAGGCGGGG